GCTGTATGATTGGCTTATGAAAGACTACTTGAGAAATGGAGGTCAAGGCAAGATTAGAGGGAGGTAGACGATACCAATACGAAGGTGTCTCATAAAGCTAACTGTGTGACATGTGTGAATCATTAAAGAAGTTAAAGTTGATTCAACGTTTGCATGTAAGTTTAAGCATGCTGCTACCACTGTTTTTTGAAATCCAGCCCTTAAACTTGCAGAAAACTTGTAATGTAACCATAGAAATATAATAAAACTAAAGCATAAGTTATGTAAAGGCGTTTTCTTAGAATAAACTAGTCATTTTTCATAATATTTGCATCATAAGTCTTAACTGTCTACTAGTGAAGTTTATCAACATTTTGTATATATTCAATTTTGACCCAGTTTCTAAAGTGAACTTATTTTTGGAGAGATAAAAAAAGTATATGATAATAGTGTGATTTTCTAGTACACTAAACCTATTTTCTCAACAAAACTGATAAATAGAAGTATGGTATATACTAGCTTAAGTTCGATTCACGTTTATCTATCTAAAACAGGATTTACAGTTAAAATATTTTCACCAACCATTGGAAAAAAGGATACTTATTCAAACTACCAAAGAAAGGAGACTTAAGTCAATGCAAAAACTGGCGTGGAATTATGCTCTTGTCCATCCCAAGCAAAATACTAAGCCGCATCATACTGGAGAGAATCAAACAAGCCGACCTGGATGAAAAACTTCGACCGGAACAGGCCGGATTCAGGAGAAACAAGTCATGTATTGATCAAATAGCCACAATACGGATCATTATTGAACAAAGCTTGGAATGGCAGTCACCTCTCCACCCCACTCAACTTCATCGACAGCGTCGATCGAGAGGTGATTTGGCAACTACTTCGCTACTACTGTGGGGTCCCATCGACACTTATACATCTCATCCAACAGTTATACGACAACGCTGCATGCCAAGTAATCCACAACGGGAAACTTACGGAAGCCTTCGAAGTGAGGACGGGAGTGAGACAAGGCTGTCTACTATCTCCAATGATCTTCCTGATTGCAGTAGATTGGATAATGCGACAGACAACGGGCAATGAGGAGACAGGCATAAATGGACTGACACAAAAGACTTGGAGTATCTGGACTTCGCCGATGATATATGTCTGATTTCCCACAAACTGGAAGATATGCAAGTGAAAAGCAGCAAGCTGGCAGAACAAGCCTCAAAGATAGGACTTTGCTTCGGGTGAACATAGATAAAACAGAGGTGATGAAGACTCTTGGCCAACACCAACAGCAACAACAACAACAGACGACAGTCAGCATAAATGGGAGGAACCTGAAAGGAACAACCTCCTTCACCTACCTACCTACCTGGGAAGCATCGTTTCAACTACAGGCGGACAGAACTGATGAGGATATCAAAGCAAGGATCGGGAAAGCAAGACAAGCTTTCATTACTCTTAAGTCTGTATGAAGGTCAACAGCACTCATCATGAAAAATGAGATCCGGATTTCCAACTCCAATGTGAAGTCAGTGCTGATTTACGGATCAGAGACTTGCACTACGCGTCATAAAGAGCATCTCCAACAAACTTCAGACCTTCATTTACAGTTGTCTTCGCTCAACACTCAAGATCAGATGGCCAGAAAAGATCAGCAACAAAGATCTCTGGCGATGAGCGAACCAACCAGGAACCGATTGTGCAACAAACAGGCAGGAAGAAATGGAGATGGATTGGCCATACGCTGAGGAAACCATCAAGTGACATCACTAGAAAAGCCATCGCTGGAGTGGAACTTGAAAGGGAAGCGGCGAGTTGGTTGTCAGTGTGAGGGTGACTTGGAGGAGGTCACGTGAGGAGATGAAAGCATGTGGACAGACTTGGAGTGGAGTGAAAAAGTTGGCAGAAAACAGAAGGCAATGGAGATGTGCAGCTGAAGCCCTATGTTCCTCTAGGAATTAAAGGATATAATAATAATATAATAGTCCATCTAATAATATATACTTCTGCTCTTACTGATATCAAAAACAAGTTTATATCAGTAGATAATTTAAAATACAGTTGCATGATCATAATGCCAGCAGAAATATTATGAAATTTTAGGGGTTTGCATTCACTCACAAATGCGTCGGTTGTTCATAGGTAGATTGCTAGACAGCCATTCATAAAGTCGCGGTTCGATTCGTAGTTGATGTACTTCCAAACTTCACCTAGCCTATGGTAATTCGGGAAAAGAGGTAAAGTTCAGTGTGGAGCTAGTCACCCTAACCCGTAAAGCCTCTGTGTTCCACTCGAAAAGCAAAGGAATAAAAAGGAAGGAAAGATTCAGGCACAGCATACAGACAATGAATATCTATTTGATCAACACACTTATGTATAGGTCTAAAACCTCCCGTGTTTCTTCGGGTTATTATTTTCTAGTTGGCTCTAGGGTAGTATTGATTCTATGGTTTTGGATACTATATCAATGCGACACTAATTCTTGTATAGTAATCGGATGAGTATGCCTTTTTCAAAGATTTTTACAAGTTACATATGAGACTAATGGAAAATCTGCGAGTGAAATACATGAAAAATCCAGACTGAACGATGATAATAGTATATACTGGTCGAATACAAGAGATTAATATGTGTAAGTAGAACTAATTGAAAAACCCGGTTGAGTGATCTTAGGCAATCTACAAACAACAGGGAACGATCAAGGTTCAGAAATGATTATCACTATAACTTTATATGAATAAAAAACAGGAATATTATTCACAAGTGTAAAGAATATAAATGAAGTACACTTTAATGTTAAAAGTTTTTAAAGAAAGAAGAGGAAAAAAATAGAAGAATGAAGATGGATTGCATGGGAAATCAGTGTACAAGTGAAAATAGGCTTAGGGCCCCACCAGTAAAAGCGATTTGACAAACTGCTTCTATCTACACAACTCATCGCCTAATGCTTTTGGGTTGCATAAGACTACTCTAACATGGATCGCAATCTATAAGTATTTTTCTTGCTGATATGGAATTTGATATCTCTTGTTACCAGTTGATGTTAAAAATAGAATTTATTCAGACTTCAAGTGCTTGACTAGGATCGTAGAACAAGTAAAAAATCTGACTCTGCAAAGGCCGGAATGTGATGACAGAGTTTTGTTCATATAGTTAACCTTTCTTTTTCAGTCGCTTTACTAAACTCACAGTTTTGTGTAACTTAGTGTACCTTATAGTGAGATGCTAAAGTAAGTGTGTCAGAGACGTATGCGTTGTTTATGATTTAATGTCATATCAATATATTTGAGTGAACAATAAATCCAGCATCCCTAACTTGATTGATTCTGTTGTGATTTAATAAAGATAGCCAATTTGACTGAACACCAGGTAGTAACTAGAGTCACTTCTCTAATCGTTTGTTTGGAGTAGACTGATTCTGTCATTCAATTTTGCGATGTGGCTCACCATCACAGTACACCCAGAACTATTGTTATCCTCTACGTTCCCAGTGGAACATAGGGCTTCAAACTAGAGGCTCAAAGTTTCGGTAGTAGTGTTATCTGTTTTTACGGCATGGGGCTGCTAACCTCATGCTCAGCCTTCCCTCTTTACCAGGCTTATTATCAGCTAAGTGAGGCAAAGAGGTGCGTCGGCCGGCGATCGATCCCCGAACCACCTGCGTGGTTGTCGACCATTCTACCGCTGTGTCACCGATGTACAACAAGGATAATTACTAACCAACATACTAACTAACGGTTGTTAAGGAAGGAAATTAATTGAATCTTTTATATTCCCTCCTCTCCATATCTACTGGTTAAGTGAACACTCGGTGGGCATAAGCGATCCCACAGATACTTCAGTGTTGCATGTTTCAAGATCATGCTTACGTGTTGCGGTATTCCAGCAACTGACACAGGGCGAACACATGACCAGTATATCCATGGTCAAATTGATCAGATAGTTTCAAGAGATTAAACACACTTGGGTTTGGTGTTTATCTGAGAAACGCCAAAGTCTTGGTTAGAGATGCTTCTTCTCTGAACTCTACAAGCTGATAAAAGTATATTAGAGGTTGCCATTTTCACACTGAACACGCCCTGGACCTAGGTTTTGTGGTTATTAGCGCTCACCAGTCAGCAAGGCGTATCTAAAATTTTGAAGAGACTACTGTCAGTTGTGAGCCCGAATAGCTTAATGGTAGCACCTGACACTGAGTGACACGGGTTCGCATTTCACAAGGGACATGAGTTCTTTCAAGACTGCAGGTATGCCTTGCCAACGAGTGTCCACGGATACGAAATCTTGATCCAAGGCTTCCTATCGATTGATTCCAACTATATAATAATAATAATAAAGGTAGCTATTATCACCTAATCTTCGTTTTGTTCCGATTTACAGAATGTGTTCAAAACACTGTCAGTTCTAGAAATATTTTCCACTAAAGGTTAAACGACGTCATTATTTTTATTTTCTTAGTTAAGTAGATATGCCATCGTCTTAGAATACCAGATGCTCCGAACAGCAGGGATTGTTTCAACCGGAGGCAATCATGTACAAAAAAACAGGTCATGTCACTAGTGTTACCCTGGCCTGCCCTGGAAACTATAAATTCATAAATTCCGCACTGTTTTCCCCGGTTTTTCTGAAATTCGGTTTATTATTATATTTATGCAATTTCATCACTCACAAATGGTTTCAAACTTTAATCTACTGTTATGGTTGATTCAGTGTAACTTAAAACATTATTATTGTTGTTGTTAATAACAATAATTCTTTGATTATTTTATACATTTAACTGTAGAACTTCGTAAAGAAGTTATCGAAAAAAATATTCTTTGTTGGCTTTTGAAATTTGCAATGGTCCTCTTTCGTCAATTAAAATATCAATGTAACAACACTAGAAATTTTCGAAGTTTTATACAAGGAAATATATGTATATATATATATATATATATATATATATGTTCAAAATAAATTATTTGTAAGTTAAAAAATCATCTATGATACTGAAAAATAAACATACTAATTTGACTCACCTTATTTTCAAGTCATATTTCATATGTATACTTTGATTCAATTTCACATGTTCTAACAAGGCCTTTAAATTCAGGAAATTAATAAAAAGAGTTAAAATGTTTAAAATTAAATAAAATTACAATGTAGATTTTGCAACAAACTTGCATCATTTGGAGAATTAATAAAAACTAAGAACAGGCGGATAGATGAAGAGTCCTAAGCTAGGACAAAAGACTTCTACTGATGTCAGTAGGTAGAAAAAGTGATTAAACTCCCTATAAAATTAAAAATTTGCATAGTAAGATTGATAATTACCCATTTCAACAGGAAAAACAAAGCCAGAAATAATACCGAATAATATCGTTTTATTTCAAGATAGATCAAGAACAGACTTGAGTTAGAGAACCACTGGGAATCGGGGGGGTACTGAGCAACTACTTCGTCCTAGTTTGGGAGTCATCGGTAGTACGCACCTGTGATCCTGTTCAGGGTCGAACCCTGGATCTTCATGTTACTAGGCGAGCTCGTACACCACTCGGTTACAGACAGAATCCAGTTGCCCATCAATTTGAACTCCCACCAGTTAGTGATGTATTGCACCACCATCGGCGAAAATTAGTCATCTCGCCCAACTTTGTGGAACTTCAAACAACTTCATCCTGTATTCAGTGACAAGTGGTCATTGAATTAATCTTCAAGTTTTTGATTTTCAGGGATTTGACTGATTCCAAGATTTTTGGAATGGGGGAGGGGGGCATGCACGTGTACTGATTAAGAGTTCCACACAAGGACAAAACAGATATGTAGTATCTCCTGGTTATCATTGATTCTTTAACTAGACTCATTTCGTGATCGGTCTTGAAACCAACCAAATCCCTGAGAACCAAAAATACAAAAAAAATTAGTTTTTCCCCTATTTTTCTAGCTAAATCTATACCTATCATTACTTGTATACATTATTACATATACGGTAGATCCAAAAGTCTGGTGAATTCAGTGAAAACCTACATATTAGAAGCTTCAGTATACTGACCTTTGTGAATCAAATGGGCATAAAACTAACCACTAGCAATAAACTCTAGTTAGGTATTTAGGAATCTCTGTGTAGATATATACAATAGATGAAATAGTCCTATTCTAATAATGTGACTAACCACTGTAAAAAGTGGAACAAATTTATATGTGGTTAACGGCCACCACTTCGTTTGTGGAAATTTATTTGGACAAATGTAATCGGAAGTGTGTTATTGATAGTTTTCAAGTAAATACATTATATATATATATCAATAGATAATATTCACTTACATCACACACTCGTGGAATTAAACCTGGATCCTTCTAAAAAATGAAGAAAAATTTAAAAAATTTAACGTTTACTCTGAAATGGTCCATTGGATCACAAACATAGTATTAAATAGTTTCTAATCCTCATGGAAATTTTTCAAACACTCTACTAAAGTGTTCTTTCTGCACTCAGTAGAGGAAATAGGACCAGAATATTTAACACTAATGTTAGATCAGTGCTTCTGTGCAGTTCAGATATGTAGCGCATCACGAGAAGCACTTCTAACAAACTTCAAACCTTCATCAGCATCTGCCTTCACTGGCTCAATGCAGAAGATCAGATGGTCAGGAAGGATAAGCAACAAGGAATTCTGGCAAAGAGTCAGCCGAGAACTTATCGCCAAACAGATATGTGGAAAGAAATGGAGACAGATTGGACATACGGTGAAGAGACCATCGAATGACATAGTACTCCAGGCAGATCCTCAAGTGGGGCCTAGATAAGAAATGAAGAGTTGGAATCTGGTCCAAGGGTGACATGGAGAAGATCATGTGAGGAGAAGATGACAGCTCATTGGTAATCGCAAAGGCAACTATAAATGAAAACAGTGAACAGAGTGAAATGAAGATGTGCTGCTGAACACCTGGGGAACCCAGGGGAATAATAATACTAAAGTGTTGGATTACATTAAATAACTTCAGTATATACAGATATAAAAGTGATGTATGTTGCGAATCAGTCACAGTTCTTGTAATGCTAACTTATAAATACTAACTAGTTCACATCAGTAACAATGAAAGCCAATCATAACAGAGATATTTCACATCACTACTGAGAATAGTGGTTCTGATGGTTATGTTTATATCAAATGAATAATGTCACTTAACATACATAACTGTAAGTTAATGACTAAATTGTTTGCGCCACATACTTCGTTGTTTCCCTGTTTTTCTATCAACCATCTTTATTTTTAGGACCACTGTAGGGACATTACTGGACCATAGTTTCAACTTCCATTAGCCTGCAACACTTTCAATATGCTTTGTATTTGAAATTAATTCATATATTATTTCAAATTCATATTGCTACAGTTACTTTACTGAGATTTGCCTGTTATATATCCCGTATATATTTTATGTGTAGGTCAATAGTTCAGTGATGAATGCTTGCCAACCACATGGTAGGTCTGGGTTCAATTTCCAGCAAAGGCACCTAGAAATTTCTCTCAGCTACTAATGAACCCAGAAAAGAGATAAGTCTAGGCATGAGGCGAGCAAAATTACTCTGTAGGAATAACACCACCACTATTGAAAATTTAAACCTTGAAGCCATTAAGAGATGGGAAAAAATACTTCGTATGCTATATATAACAAAGTAGGCGGAGTATTTCCCTTTGCTTTATATATTTCTAGGGAAATAAATTACTCCACTTAGATTGATTCTTGGAGAATGGTAGTTTTTATTTTCTAGTACTGAGTTAGTGCTAATTTTTGAAGTCTCACTTCGCAGCGGCATTGTTATCATTCTCCTGGTAACTTTTTGGCAAATTTTTGAAGAAAAGTTGTGATTTATGAAATGGCTTAATAACTTCGTGAAACTTTAAGAAAAATACTTATCGGTTCAACTTGCTATGGTTGATAAAAGCACACGTAGAAGAAAAGAACTGTAGCAAAACTGAGAGATACACTGAAAAGAAAAGTTACACAAAGATTGGTAGTTTTCAGAATCTAAATGACAGTATGAAGTTAGTACACACACTCCAATGTGAACAATTTTAGCCATCTTAGGAACAGTCTTAAACCATTGGTTTTTACCACTCCAGTCAGGCAGTCTGCATCTCCTTACCTGGCTATACCAGTTTCACCAGAATGCATTAATTAGTTCCTTCTCTATACTCTCTTCGCATTTAAACAAGTAGAGGATAGATTAATTGATAAAGTTAAATGTCGTGTTCAACTCAAGAGCCTTGGCCCGTTATCGGACGCCAGTGAGCATCGCGTTGTCCAAAAATAAGTAGAAGGTTCAACATATAATGACCGCATCTTCGTCTGGATCTAAATTCTGTATAGTTTTCTCTACACTGAATGGTGGTATTGGGAGATGACACCCAAAAGAACTCATATTACTGACTGCGGGTTTGAAAGATTATAATTCTTCGCCTTATAGAGCTCATATAAGATGAAATAACCGTTCATTATTTCTTATTTTTTCGAATTTCTACAGTTGATATCAGAACATAATGAGCACTGGACCCAGTTGAAAAGAACGGCAGGAAATAGAACAAAGTAGAGATGTGTAGTTGAAGCGCTATGTTCCTTTAGGAACCCAAGGGAATAAATAATAACGGAGTAACTTTACTCCTTAATAATTGTTAATTTCAAAAGAAAAAGTTTTATTTTACGTTGTTTAGTTTCCATCTGGTCTAATGTGTTTTTGCTAGATTATGGTAACTTTACCAAATCACTTCATTTTATTAGAGAGAAATAAAGGTGATTTCCTGTTTCAACCCTAATCAATGACTTCTCTTGCATATGTATATGAATATTATCCAAATATCAATACAAAATAAGTATGTTATGCATATTTATCGTTCAAAAACTAAATGTTGTCACTCCATAAATATATATATATATATATATATATGTACTAATCAACTGATGCATCTAATGTCATAGTTTAAAGCAATACTGAGCAAATAACCAGTTATTTAAGTCTAGCTAGACGTATTATTATTGTTTATTATTATTATTATTGTATTCCTTTGCGTTCCCAGTGAAACATAGGGCTTCAAACTAGAGCTATGAAGTTTCGGTACAGTGATGTTTTTTTTACGTGATAGGGTTGCTAGCCTCATACCCAGCCTACCCGCTTTGCCGAGCTTATTACCAGCCAAACGATGCAAAGCAGTACATCGGCCGGGGATTGAACCTAGAACCACCTGATTGACCGGCGAGCATTCCACTTCTGCACCGCCGATGTAACAGCAAACAATGAAGTTTCGTTTTTTTTTGAATGCCTTCACAAAACTAATCACCTTATTCCAAACAAAAGTAACTTTACAGAATGAAAATTTTCAGTATTATACACATTGCAAAAACTTTTCATCTTTTAAAAGCAAATAAATAGATTAAATAATAGAAAATGATAAAATTACAAATACAGAAGTTAATGATAATAATATTTGTAATCATAATGTTGTTACTGAGTTGCTGTATATTTACATATTATAAAATTGGTCTTCTTTTCACACACCACCTAAGCAAAATATAGTATGGCTGAATATTATATTCAGTCTTACAAGAGTCCTCCCCAAACAGATCAAAAAAGAAAGTCGTGAGTAGAGAGGATGTTCAATATCGGGTAGGCTGACTTTATCCAGCTGCATGCAAGAATTAAAATGTCTACAAAGAATAATGTCAGTTATTTGAATCAAAGGCACTAACCCACTAACTGTGCTCACAGCCTTCGAAGTTTTGCGTAAGATTAGATAGCCCTTTCTGAGAAGCCCAAGGATGAAAAAGGGGACCACTTAAAAATTATAAAGAAAAACTGATACCAAGATAGGTAGTGTCTGATTAACTGACAGCTCCAGTACCATCAGTATTGCAAGAATCATGACACTGGATCAGTCGACGCAAATCTCGTTCATGCCTGAAACTAAAATTAACAGTCTGACATTTAAGGGGATTCAGTTTAAGACCATTTGAATAGGACCAGTGGTTAACCTCAGATAAGAAACTATTCATAACTGAACAATCTAATGCAGAAACAACAACTGGCAGATAGAAATTACCAGATCATCAATACATAAAAAGAAATAGGCTTTAAGAGAATATGACAAGTCATACAAAAAGAAAGAAAAGAAGGAATGAAGGAAGTGCAGCACCTTTAGATACACTAGAATCCCATTACAAACAGTGTGTTGTTTCCTACCCGAAAATTAGGAGAACAGTTAACTTGTGACACAGGTTTTTCAGTGAGTGTTGGAGTCAGCTTACTTAGCAAAATATACCCTAAAAAATAGAGTCAAAAGTAACAGTGTAGTCAAAAAAGTGTAATCGTGATTAAGAATAAACTACACTAATTTAGACTAGTTAATTTAACACAATTCTTCTTTTTTTTCTAATTTGACATTATCTTGATCTAAAAAATGCCTAAAAATCAGGACTATGAGAAATATAATTAAAAAAGTAATTCTCTAGTCATATGGCTACTTGGTGAATTTTCTTAGCCAACTGCCATCAAATGGATTACCTTTCTTTCCATGACTACACTAGGTTTTTTATTCAGTAGGCTTAATTAGCTTAGTGTTTATATAATGTAATGGATGCTGTCATTTGTTTTCGTTTTCTTATGATTTTGCTATCTGTATCCTAGAAAATTTCCATTGTTATATACATAAAATCAAAACACGTGATTCACCGAAGAGACTCTTTTCAACGAATTTATTATCAAACTGTACAATCGTATATATATATATGGTTTTTAAGAAGTTACTTCCGGTGAGGGAATTGAATTATAGGTGTGAATGCATAAAGTAATTGTATGAAATGCAATTAGGATATTTGTGATGGTAATCATAGTTAAATGTCAAGTGGCAAAACAATTGATGTCATTTGTAGAATAATTCATAGGCTGTATAGAATTAGGAAGGAGTGTTCAATTATAGGATTAGTAGGCAAATCGAATAAAATAAAAACGTTACGTAACAAAATTGATTTAGAATGACACGTGGATCAAGTGAAATAATACCGGGGACAGTTCAGGGTGACAATAGTAATGGTAACAATTTACGTAATAAAGGAAGAGTATACAAACTGAATAGACACAATGGAAAAAGTGGTGGAGCCAAAACATGATTACGGATTACCATACTTTAACATAGAGGGATTAAGACTATGAAAGTTGGATGGTTTCAACGAACTTTTTCCGTACACACAGATCTGGCATTTAGCCAAGGCTTCAGTAATACAGATGAGTTGGGTACGTAGTGATTTGGACGAATTACTTTTCGCCTCGTAGATGACTTTAAAGGTGGAGGCTGTCAATATAGGGTGATCGTTATCGACCAAATGTTCAGTGATCGCACTTCTTATTGCTCCATTTCCACCTCTTCGAAACCATGCAGGATAGCGTTCTTGCACCCTCTTGGACAAAACTCGAGTCGAACGACTGATATACCTAGCTGCACACAAGCAGGTGAATTGATAAAAGCACATGGAGTTGGTCAACTGTGGCATCTTGTCCTGCGAGTTATTGAACAGTAATGGTCGACTGATAAAGGCTATTCTCAGAGTTACAGCAGGGAATGTCCTTTTCAAGAACTGTGAGATCCTTCTTTTAATGATATCGAAAGCCAAGCCACCTTTAAATTCCAAGCTCATGTACAGTATTTTCTTGGGTGCGAATGATAAGTCACATTTCAACTGACTGTTTTCTAGACTGGCCATAAAACAGTCTACAAAAAGAGGACCTATGGGAGAACTTATTGCATTTCATATTATTATTATTTTATGCATTCACACCTATAATTCAATTCCCTCACCGGAAGTAACTTCTTAAAAACCATATATATATATACGATTGTACAGTTTGATAATAAATTCATTGAAAAGAGACTCTTCTCTGAATCACTTGTTTTGATTTTCTATCTGTGTCATAGACAAAGCTTTATGTTTTTTCAACAATTTTGCGAGAACTTCTTGCAATGTGGCAATTTTAAAAAGTGTTTTCGATGAATAACTTCTGTTATATCTCATGTATAGGTAGTATTATTGATGCTATTATTTCCTTGCGTTCCGAGTGCAAAATAGAGCTGAGATGAAACGTCTCCGTTCCACTGGGTTCTCTGCCATCACTTTTAGCAGGCCACAATATTGCCAACATACCTTCAGAACCTCTTCATATAGTCTCCTCCGTGTCACCCTCAAATGACTAACCTATTTCTGTTCAGCTTCTATCCAACGGTCTGTCTAGCATATGATGTCACTAGAATATCTCCTGAACATATACCCAAATGTTCCTTTCTTTCTGCATATTTGCTGTGCAGTAGATTTTTGTCTATCTCTTTCAGTGCTGGGGTTTCTGATTGGTTTTGTCTTACAAACGGCTGTCTAATCTTCTTCTCAGCGAGCTAAGACGGATGTTGATGAAAATCTGCAGTCTACTGGAAATGCTTTAGGTGACACACGTGCCAAGCCTCTGAACCATACACAAGTGCAGATTTCACATAAGTGTTAAAAAATCAGATCTTCTTCCTTGTGTGCTCCAAGTGCTATAGGTGTCCATACTTATTACAGAGTAATAAACATTTTCTTTTTTTCCCGATCTGCTCTTGGCTGGCTCCGATATTTTCATCCGTCCCGCCTCTTGTAGACAGTAAAATTCTGCCAACTTCAAGCAAGACAAAGAAATGAGTTCCTTTAGTTTTCCCCCGTTTATGATCATTGGTCTATGTCGTTATTTTTTATTATAGCTTGATTCAACACGGTACTTTTGGTAGAAGTATAGAATTTTCAGCATGTGATATCGGTAGCCCAAATTTTGCAGACCAACCATTGATATTAGGTGTGCGTCGGCAGGGGATCGAACCCCGGGCTATGTGCATGGTCGGCCAGAGTCCTACTTGCTGTGCCACCGACGCTTCATTACCTCTGTTTATTCTATGTTCAATTAAATTCTTGTCCTCGTGGTCTTTTCTAACAGTGTAAGCATACTTACTGATAACAGGAATTAAGCTCATATGTGCATAAGTAAGCTTTAAGAAATATTCGTTTTCAATTCTACAAAACTCTTTTATTTGATATTTAAGTGTTGGTTTTTAGGCATTTGATTGATTGATCACAGGATTTCATCATGAGGTGACATTGGTTAGAGAACCATTGGAAAACCCGGGAGTACTGAACAGCTGTTTCGTTCTGGTTTGGGACTCTTCATCGGTACGCACCCACCGGGACTCGAACCCAGGACCTTCTGGTTACAAGGCGAGCTCGTATACTACTGAGCCACTGGGACCCAATCCAATGGCCATCCCATGAATTTTAACTTCTGCCAATTCATGACATAGCGCAACCTCTAGCCAATGTCTTTGGCGAGTATTTGTCCTCACACCCAACCTGCTGCACCCTACTGGTCACGACTTCTCACTAGAACCTCAGGTGATCCCTTACCTACATGAACTTCGAACACATTTGGTTCACTTTAAGGTTAAAACAACTGTAGAGTAAATCAAATGCATGGTGTTTAGTGATACAATTGAAAAATGTCCCAACTGTTATCATTTATACTCATTATTTGTATTCGGAATCCCTGTTGAACGATTATGGCGAGTCTTACACCAGAAGTCCGTTATAACAAAAGTATCACTGCAAATTATTACTACTGCATTTTAAACTTCTAACCGAAACATCTGTAATTTACAACCCAACCTTGTACAATAATTTAGATTGTAAAATTTATTTTTACCTAATGTTATCAAAACTTTGCCCCGAATAAAAGAACCAAAACAATTTTCAACTCTCTGAACAGCGAAATTTACCATTTAATTAACCGTAAATTAAAAGTATTTTAAAGTGGATATATATATATATATATATATATATATATAATCAATCATCAGAGTACGGAGACTGAAGTGAATAAGTGTCAAATGAAATTCAGGTCATATATAATATGAATACATATACTTTTATATTTAAGATTAATATAAATATATATGAATAATATATGTTATTGTTTTCCCATAAATATGTTCTAAAGAACGATAAATTACCCGCAAAATAAGTAGAAGGATGACATTTGAGGCTAATTTCTCAAAAATCCGACATCAGTTAGAGAGACATTGAAAAATAGTTTTTTAATGTCAGGTTTTGGACTCTTCAGCTGTATGTTTTCACAACCTAATCAGGGATTAAGTCTTGGACCTTCCGCCTATGAAACCTGCACTTTGTCAAGTGTGCGATGTAAATAATAACATAAGGGATAAAAGATTACCGAACATGTCTTAAACTTCTATATTAAGCCTGTCATTTTTACATTCCTTTGCCTTCTGAGTGGAACATAAGACTTCAAGCTTTGAAATTTCACCAACAGTGGAATTTTTTTACCAGATGGGGTTGCTAGCCTCAATCTTAACCCTCCTTGTTTACCCATTGGCTAAGAGAGATTTAGGAGCATATCGATGAGAAATCAAACCGGGAGCACTGGCGTGGATGATGGGCCTTCTACAACTGAACTACCAGCTCACTAAGACTATCACTAGCAAGATGCATCTAACTGTAAATACTTGGATGACGATATTATAGTTTTTCCAAACTTTTGCGAATCTGCTATCTTCAACTACATATATTCGGATATTTTTTTCACATTTTAATGTAAGTTAGTATTTTGGGGCAGTATTTAAGTGCCTAACATAATGTGGTTTTATCAAATAAAACTAATGTGAAGAGTTCATAACAGGAGCTGATTAAAAGCATCTGTACTTCGTGGTATGAATGTCCACAGAAATGACCTCCTGTTCTTCGGTGCTTTCTGTATTAGGGATGTAATAGACACTGAGTCCCTCATTTTCAGTAGGGCTTCGTAGGTCCTAAATGTTTCTTATAGATAACCTCAACCGAGACATGCAACTTTACAATTTGGTTACAGTGCAGCGCAACGCTTCAATACAATAGCTGAGTCAAAATCTAGGTAAAAAGATTGAATTTATATTATCTTAAACTTGGTTATTTTGCGATGCTCAGTGTGTGACATCATGTCTTCATTCGTGTGTTATTTTACTTGTACCCTAATTACAGTAGAAGCTCCAGTATAGTTTAATTGGTGGATGGTGACTAGCAGTGGAATCCAGGGTGAACATTTCGTCCTATTTGGGACGCGTCATCTGGATGTACCTGCATTCCCAGTGAGTGATGATGTTTCCACCACGGCTCAAACCCACTGCCCACAGTTTCAAACGCCAAAGAGTTAACCACTTGACCACTTGGGCCGCAAGAGCCATCTCTTGTGCATTGGGTCATATATATGTATATATAATCAATAATTAGAGTACGGAGACTGAAGTAAATAAGCGCCAAATGAAATTCAGGTCATATATAATACGAATACATATACTTTTATATTTAAGATTAATATAAATATATATGGGTGATATATGTTACTAATGTCGAAGTAACGAGAAATACAATTTTTTGTATTTTTTACCTGTTAACATTTTTGTATACGTATTATCGTTACCGCTAGGATTCTGGATGACATGTAAAAGCCACAGTAATAGATGTGTAATCCATTACTGATTTACATCGGGCTTAACCCTAGTAGTCACATTCTAATACAACCAAGAAGATATATCAAGCTTACCTTCTTCAAACAGACTGGATTTTAAACATTGTCTTATATGTTTACGTTTCCTATCTAATTTTAACTAAAGATATTAGTGTCAAATTACTCTTACACACAACCATGTTTTGATTACTGAATATTAAGCAGATATTCCCAGAAAAATCCTCATTTAAATAGTCTGTTAACATAAAAACGCCAATGTATTAAATATGACAACAGACAGCAACAGCTTTTACATTCACTCATGTAGTTTCTCAGGTCTTTTAGATTATAAACGAAGATGAAAGAGTGGTAAAAGTCTATTGGTGTAAATGAGTCATTCTCAGACTAAGAAAGAGTATTATTTAACAGTGTAAACATACTTCGGATCCAAAGATTGTATGCGTTTTCCCTGTTCCTGTCATCCCGTAAGCAAACACACTACTGTTGTATCCATGTTTCACGGACTCAACTGCGTCTTTTCCAATGTGATTATATAACTGTTCAAAAATTATACGTAATAGGAAGGAAAATCTTTACTTTTAAACAAAGTGATTCAAAAATTAAATTATCCTTAACAGTTAATTCCAGTGCTTCGAATTTCAGACAAGGAAGAAAACTGACAAAACGAAATTATTTGATATCATATTTGAGATGGTGACTAAAGTTTCAGTGAAAACTTCATTAAACAAAACACTGACTCAAAATGCAGTCTGATAACAATGTGCTCAAGTTCAGCTGAATGTTTCAAACTGTAATGCATAGTGAATTTCCAGAGCACTATGTCTCACATAATGTGATATCAACGTGAAGAAGTTATCCCAACTGACTATGTTTAAACAGACAACCCATATAGCACTGACCTTTCTGAAATGATTTCCTTTAAGTCAGTTGGCTGAGGATCTAAAGTATATTAGTGCAAAGTATTTATAGAAAATAAAAAGCTATCTGCTGTTCCGTCATTTGGAGGTAAAATTCCGCAATGATATTTCGTTAAGCTATGGAAAATATATTCTTTATTAAAGGTCCCTATCTTCAACAGATGTAGATCTTTCTAAAGAAGGAATCCTGAAAAATATATCACTATTCATTAAGGAGCATACTCACCTGCCACTTAAAGTGTGTGTACACACCAAATATCTACGTAAAAATAGATGACTGATAATTCTGATTAAAATGACACCTGAAACTTATAGTGCCATCAATACTGTATGTAAAACTCATCTTAGTAAATAGTGGATTATGTCTATCCCCAACTGGTTTGTAAGATAATATTGATTCATAAACCACACTGATAATAATATTTAAACTATTGAAACCCGTTTAATTTCAAAATATTTCACACCTAACCCAAGGGTTCATCGGAGCCTCAGTTAACAATTACAATTAAGAACAGACGTTTACTCCATTTTTTAAATATTTCCTTGCTTTTCATAGCTTCACCCACTTTTAACCTTACCTTCGTAACTTACAACAACATGTTCTGCATTTTTAAAGAAAATTGTTTGTTTTTTGGATCATAAACTCAACGAAAGTGTAGAAGCAACATGTAGTTTCCGAAAGATGAGAACTTATGTACTACAGTAATTATGTCTCACTTGTATAAACATATTTCCTATTAGAAAGACAAATCTCCTTTAGACTTATAACGGTAAATTTATGAACATTCAATCATTCACATTAATTTCTCACATTTATACTTATAGGTTATTCAGTTGGTTTTTCTTTCGACTGATTTTTATTGTATTCAACGGTCGAATAAAATTATACTAATTTCATTTTTTCTTTCAGTGCTTTTAACAACTGTTAGTCGAATTTGTTCGCCATCTATGACTTTTAAACAGCCCAATATTCCTCCTTACCTGTATCTGTAAACTACTGCTTGTATCAAACTGCCTCATCGGTACACGATCTCAGTGTACCATTTTTGTCCGAATAAGCTGCTAGATGTGAATAAATAGGCAAACATTTGTGAAATTCAAAGTCAAATTAAGCAACTGAGTCAGTGGCAAAACAGAGTCGCTATTTAAACACTTTCAGTGTGATTTAAGTAGTCCTCTAAGCCTGCTTATGCCTAATCACCATTTCCATATTCAAAGCTGAAAGCTTTAATTTTTGCATATCCACCTACTGTCTTTATGTTAAAATACATTCTGAAGTACTGCAAAATGACATTCTGTTGTCGCACACACCATAATTTCTCTTAGAAATATTTAAGTAGTTACTTACCGAAGACTGTGAATCAAGTTCAGAGCTGTTAGATTCACATGAGCCAAATATATGGTCTAAGGTGAATATTCTAGTTTGAACTCTATGATCAGCAACTGTTCCACTACTGATATGTTTGCCACTGAACAAAATCAACTCATTTTTCCTAATCGTTATATACTGCCTTGTGTTTTCATTGGACTCTCTGTAATGGACAAATTAGAGAAGTTTATATTATCATGAAATGTTAGATAATTTTTACATAACCACAGTATGCGAAATGATGAACTTAATTAATATACTGCACAGAAATGTCACCTGTGAAATACTTACGCCTGAAAATCAAAACCATGCAGTTATATCAAAACTTAATTTACGGAGCACGGTCGTCACGAATAGGTTAATTTCGGTATGCATTAGCACTTGATGTGCGAAGATTATTCATACAAAATACAGGACAAGACAGAAAAATACGTTTTTTATCGAGGTATTGTGCAGTAGACAGAATCAAAATAAGAAAAATCGATCAAATCTGTCGCTTAAGCGACAGTAGTAAAATGCTCTGTAGTACAGCGAGAAAACACCAGATAAAAAATATTCTGCACAAAGGGTAGAGTGTTTAAAATTCCACAATGAATTTCTGCTTTTGCCAATGTTTGCTCAAATACACGATATAAGTGTATCGTTCATTTGTGAAGTTTACTTCTCAAATAATGAATTTAAATGGTTGGATGGAATCGTTTAATCTGAGAATTTTCAGTAACGAGCAAAGCATGGAAGAGGAAAATTTAATACTCAAAAAGACATCATTAAGACTAAATAAATATGACATTGAGTGTGATTTATGATTCCAGATGAACTTTATATTAAGGAAATAACTCAGCTGTTCACCGCAAGAATATATTTTTAATTTTCAACAGTAGAACCGCTACATATTGAAACAAATTTTCAAAACGAAACACTTACTCTGGAGTTAAGGGACGGATGCGTGCAACAACATAAAGGTTGCTCATCAGAGTATTTTGGACAGTTCTTCAAACCGCAGCATCATATTGCCACCTCCGAAAAACGCGGTGTGTGAGGGTATATCTCAAGGTTTTGGCACATTTAAACCAAATACTTATGATAACGAGGACAAGTCTGCACCAATATCACAAACATAATGGATGCATATTATAGAGACCCTACACATGATATTATGTATAAAGTGTAAAATAAAAGAAATTTTAATTGGACGATCTGGTGAGGATCGGTGAAATTTGACAAGTTGTAAAACTAGTGGCGCTGTCTCAGTGGCTCAGAAGGTGATTGAACGTCTACCTTATAATCTTATCACCCATCTTTTGTCAGCAGCAACACACTCCATGAAGCACAACATGGCTTTATAAGAGGTAGACCCAATACAACAAACAGGTTGGAACTATGGTACTTCATTCTGGGATATGAATCTTCCAGTTTATCTGATCTAACTCCACTTCGTGAAGGCATCTGACACCGTTTAGCACATTCCTTTATGCTAAGTAGTGCAACCACGCACCTGTAGGTAACAGAAAAACTTTCTGTGTGATGATAACTTGTCCTGTGTAACGTTATGAAGGGTGTAATATCATTGATTCCCTGTTACTCAGCAGGGACGCCAGTCTTTTGTGAGAGATTCGAAGAGAGGCGAAAAAGGGATGTTTGATCTCCACAGTAAACTCTATGATGAAGGGTTGAAGAAACTGGGTCTTACCACAACTGGCTACCGTCAGCCTAGCAGCGAACTAATTACTGCCTAAAGGATTAGAAACGCCCGAAATCACACAGACAAAGGTTTTCCACCATTAAGTCACTCGGGCTTCCTCGTGACAACTTATGAAGGATGACGCATCAGAAAGCAAATACTGGAGTGCCTTTGCAGTCCTTTTCTCCTGTAGTTTGCTGCTCTTGGGACCTATCGCAATCTGCTGTGGATACTGCACCTTCTGTGGGAAGCTTTAAGAGGAGACTCACCTATGATGCAGTGACACAAGGGCTGAGTCCGAGTGGCCTACACCCTTAAATCTCAAGCCACACACTATTAATCGGTATACAACTTAATTTATTCTCCACCACTTCCTATACTTCTCTATCCTATTAGGCATTTCGAATACAAGCTTGTGAATTGTCTTTGATCTTATGGCTTGTCAAACATTTTACATCCGAAAGTGTTCTAAAATGGAGTAATTACACATTCTGCTGTCCAGGTGGGTTTTATTCAGATAGTGAAACAGCTATTCATATGGTTTCAAAAACACTGCTATGACCACCATCGTGTTCCTTCGCTAGCAACTGTTTACTCGTTTATACACTCGAAGCACTGCTGCCCAGCTGTCAGGCGGAAAAATGTAGACCTCTTTAATGCCGGCTTAACTTCCGAAACTGGACTCTGAAATGTCAACCGGCCACAACAATTCACAGTCGTCCACCAAATAAAACAGATCATCTTTGTAATGAGTTCTGGTCTCTGGTGGTGTCTTGCAGCTGTCTTCTGCATGGTATGTAACATCCCCAGAATTTTGATAAATCCTAATCCGGTAGGCAGAAGTGCATAAAATGTATCGTAATGGTGTGACCTCTAGAGTTCATGAATGTAATTTCATCATGCAGTCCTTGAAATCAGCTGAAAACAGCCTGGAAAACGGGATACCAAGAGATATAGGTGGAATCGACGGGATGAGTAGGCTAGGCAAATATAAAGTAGGATAAACATATCTAACGCGATGAGAACACGGGTAGAGAATAAATAAATAAATTTATTCTCATGATACAGTACATGAGGGACGCCAGTTTACAGGCATCATCAAATTGTTACAGAAATAGGACCATATTATTCAGTCACAATTTACAATCGATGACAAAATATGTTTAACATGTACACTGGAGATTATACATACACTTGATAAATGTTAATCCGAATAGTATAAAACATCCTTTTCACTTATGTACAATCATTTCTGTGCATAGTTGGAAAAATCCGCTAGATTGTCAGTGAGTGCAACACATCAGGAAATACAGAAGTATTGTCTTCGCATTAACAAAAAAACCAGGTCTTTGGTGGATGGGTTATAAGTGCCTGGGAAAAAAATAAAGCTTGAAGTCAGTTTTCGTACAATACTTTGTTGTGTGCAGAATCCTTGAATTATAGTTCATTGATGTGTTATTTTGAAATCAGTGATTTGTTTATCTCATTTGATCTGCAATGTCATTGTTGGGAGTAAAATACATAAGCTTTAGACGCATTAATTAATGGATTTCTACTGCTTGTGGGTATTTACTTCTCGTGAGGAAGGTTTTTGAATTTTAGTTGTTCCGACAGGAGTTGTGGATATTGACTGCTCAGCAACATTATGGATATAAGTTCATCACATTATCTCAGGAATGTTGGGTTGTAGTTGGTGAGGCATATATGATGTCCGACGAGCGTACATCTGTCCATGTGATGTTGTGGTGAGTTCTATCTTTTTCATGTTGTCGGTTTATGTCCATTTTATTCCACTTATTGTGTTGGGTAGAAGTTTTACAAACGAAACTTCTTGTCTGTTTGAGGGTAAGTATCTTAATCGTTAATGTTTTATCTAAAATTATAAATATAGGCAAAAACAACAGGTGTAGTATTTGAGCTTATACATTAAATGGACCTATAATTTCGGAGGCTCTCAGATAGGAACTAGGACTACTGTCGTTTGCAAACTCGTGTAGTTTGTCGTTAAGCACTTTTTTGAATGAGGCCAATGTACCTGCTTGACGCATTTCCATTGGTAGTTTATTCCATATCTGTGCATACCTAATCAAATAAAACTTTTGCCTGGTAGCTGTTTTACATTGTTCGATAGCTACTGTACCCTTAGTGTGTCTTAGTTTGTAGCCACTGTCATCTGAAAGTCGAATGCCATTAGTAGAGGTAAAAACTAAGTGGTTTAGAAGCTTATAGTAAAGTGTTAAGTTTAGTCTCAGGCGTCTTAGCCATAGTGTTTCTAATCCTAGGGTGTCACATCTAGTGGAGTAGTTCGCACCATTTTCGGTTCCGAGTAATTTTGACGTGAAGTACCTCTGCACTCCCTCGACTTTCAATTTGTCCTCTATGCGTATACTACTATACATGAATGAACAGTAATCAAATAAAGGACGCACACAAACCTTGTACAACAGAATTCTGGACTCATTTCTGTAAAAGTTCCTGAGTAGAAAGCCGATAAGTCTGCGTGACTTTGACACTTGTTTGGAGATATGTTCAGAAAATGATAAGTCATGTGAGTATTTCAGTCCTAGGTCCAATACAGATTCCAGTCGTAAGAGTGCATGGCCTTGAATTGTCAGGTCAAGTTCTAAATTGTTGCAACCTATGCAGAGCCAGCCACATTTGTCGACATTAAACTGGAGTTGCCAGGTGTCACACCATCTGTCCATTTTTTCTAATTCTTGCTGTATGGCGTTTACTGTTATTCCGAGATCTGTGTTCTTGCATTTATAGGTCACTTTTAAGTCATCTGCATATAGTATTGGTTTACCAACACTAAAGCATTCACAGATACTGTTTATATATATTATGAATAGGAGTGGGCCTAATACACTTCCCTGGATTACACCACTACTTACTGGTTTAGGCCTTGAGATTATCGAGCCAACTTTCGTTATCTGACTTCGGCCACAGAGAAATGATTTTATCCAGCTCAGGAGAGGGTCACATATCCCTAGTGAGCATAACCTGCTGACTAGCAGATTATGGGGGACTCTATCGAAGGCTTTTGTTATATCGAAATATAGCACAATTACTAGTTCTCTGTTGTCCCTGCTTCGTGTAACTTCGTTGAAAAAGTCTATGTGACAGGTCGCACATGATCTCTTTTTGAGGAATCCGTGTTGTGATGGATTGATAAGTTCATGTTCTAGTAAGTTGTCTGACACTTGGTCTTTAACCACTTTCTCCATTATTCGTGATATTACCGGTGTTATATTAATAGGTCTATAGTTGCATGCACTGGTTTTGGCCCCTGCTTTGTGCTTAGGTAATATGTATGTGGTTTTCCACACTTCAGGATAAGTTCCAGTTTCCAGTGACAGAGTAAATATTCTAAGTAACAAGACTACCATTTCCGTGCTACCATTTTTGTATATGACAGATGGTATGTCGTCTGTTCCAGTACTGCCATTTGACTTCAATGTCTTAATCGCTGAGTCTATATTTTGTATATTAAAATCTATTTCTCCTAATTTGTGGTTACTTTTGCAGGTCATTTGGAAATTTGGGGTCGGGTGCACTCTGGTGTCATTGCAAAACCACTCAGAAGAAAAGATTATTCATGAAGGGATAATGAAGTGAAAAAGAAAAGAAGAAATAAGAGCATATTTCAACAAATTAAGTTGTATGCATGAAATGAGAGTTCACAGAGTATTTGGTGAGCACTCATAGCACTGTTATCGCCCCTAAGGGCGAGACTGTCCATCTGGCAGCTGCACTAGAGCCTTCAGGCTTCACACGGTCACCTAGACTTCTGTATGTGCTACCAGGTAACAAGGCTGTAGCTACAGTGTCCAGTACTGATTTCTGGAGATAACGAGTCATAGGGGAAAACGAATTTCATTGTGCTTGTGTTTCTGCCTTCTGACAGGTCACGGCTTTAAGGTAAGCTGATTCACATTATCTTCCACTAGATTTAGGAACGATTCATGCATTGGGATATTCCAATTCCAGAATTCCGCCCAGCTATCCGGATCTTCTGATGGAGAAAAAATCTTTTCTGAAGCAATTCTGAGCCTGGTGTAGTGCGTTGTTTCCATTCAGGCAATGAATGGTGTGGTCATCTAATTTGCTTTACATCAAGTTCACTTAATTGGTGTAGCACTAATAACCAATAACACAGGGTTCTGACCATATCTGACTTCATAAATCACAGAACCGACAGCACGCTCGCATTGAGTTAGCTAATGCCTGTACGAAGAATGCTGAAACAGCTTACCGAGTGTAATGCACTGAACCACAGTACTGCTTCGG